ATTCGGAAGGATGAAATGATTTAAAGTGCTGGGTAAGTAAATTCCGATTATAAGCAGCTGTTTTTTTGTGTTTTCCTCGCTTCTCATCTGCAGAATTTGTTATATTACTGCACAAGATCCTATAGTTTATTTTTACATATTACAAATTTTTACAAATACAATTTTTTTTTTGCATATTGTATAAACATTAGTTAGTATACGGCAGTTGTAAATGCGCACCACACGCTGCATATTACTATATAGTATAGTCCATCTAAAGGTTGCCTGGAAGAGATCGCAGGCTGCGATAAGGCCATGTAAAACGTTTTTTTTGTATGTATCATCGCATGTATCCTAATTTATTATGGTGTGCAATAAAGAGTACCTATCTATCTATCTATAAACTCTCGTTGGTTTTCTTTTGCGTTCGGTGGTATAATTCCTTCAATGAACCGCTACTGATGTATTTGAGTCTACGAATGAATGCTGCTCTTGACAAGTCATCTTCCAATAAATTTCATTAATCGGTTCTTTCAATCTTGGTTTAATATAAAATTGCATTTCTTTAGGCATAAATGCCTAAAGCACTGCATCCTATTTTAACAGTGTATTCAATTCTTCTTTTTTTTAGCATAAATTTTTCGCTGACGTAAAGAAGTGGCATAACTTTTACGTTTTGATGACGATTGCGCTGTTACAGGCAGCAATATATTTGTTTCTAGTTCATGTTCTGTAAAATGTATTTGATTAGTACTAAAAGCAGTAGAGATTGTGTCAATGGTATTCCTTCGTCGACTGTTGTCGATGTAGCTTTCTTAGACTGACTTTGATCTTCTTCGATATAAAGTTATTTGCTTACTATTTAACAAAACAGATATTGTTGCTTTTGTGTGTGTTGATCTATGACTTTAGAGTCTACTTAAAAGACGACTTCAAACAATTAAAAAAAAATGAAACAAAGAGAGTTTTAGTTTGAATACACAAGGAAGAGTGTTAGTAAAATTTAGATTATTTTTAGTCGTAACTTGAGTTGATGTAGCAGTACGTGAGCTTTTTTTCTTTGAATATGTTTTCTTTTGTAAGTCTTTGGGCTGTTGTTTGTCTTTGATATATGAATATTATATTCTCCAGAGTCACCACTTGACGCAGACGGGTAATAATTTTTCATTTATCAAAATCAATTGGTGAATCTAACTCGGAAAAAGTTCTTTTAAGTGTGATTACTGTTTCGTCAAAATTTTGTGTCTGGTATAATATGTACGTCATTTGTGTTTCGCAGAATGTTTGGAACACAGGCGACATCAAGGAATAGGGTCTTGTATATAGGTTGTTTATTTAGTCTTGAGCAATCAGGCTGATTTGTAACCCCTTTTCTAGGTGAAATACGACCGACGAGTACCGCGAGAGCAGTTATCGTCAATTTCGCGTTGGAATGTGGGATGGCCGCATTTTAGTGTTAAACAATCCAGCTTAAATATTTTTATCATTATTTTGAAATCGTCGTTAAAGTCTTGTTCAATATGTAAAATCTCAAAAAATATATGTGGAATAAAACCAAAAATGCAGTTAAGTGATTTATGCGTAGTATTTTTATTTAACGGCTTTATAGCGTTGGAGTAGCTACATTTTTAATAACAGAACGCTAATCTACAAAAAAGTTAGTGTTTAAGGGCACTATTGAGTACAAAAATCAGTTAACAACAATTTAGTTATGTAACTTACATAAAAATCACAGTGAAAAAAAAACTAAGGGCTCTAACCCTTTTTAGGTTACGAAATATAGTTAACTACGTTTTTGAGTTGTAGGAACACATATGAAAAAAGTTGAAATAACGATATTTTAACTATGATTATCTCGAGAACAAAAACAGATAAAAATAAATCTTAAACACAGTTCGATAGAGCTTTTTTTCTTGAGATATGGGAAAACGGCATTATAGTAATTGTACAGCAGAAATATGAACCGCCTTAAAAGAAATTGTTTCATGAAAATATGAACTAAAAAGTAATGTATGATATAAGTACTAAAAACATTCTGATTATTGAATACGCCGACACCGGTAGCTCAAGAGTTGCTAGTTTGCTTCTCTTTGAGTTTCCAGTGTGGGGGGAGGGGAAGGGTGGTTTGGAAATGCAACGAAATATATGCTTAACACCGGTTTTCTATAAGGCCGTGTATTATTATTATGGCCCATTTTATTTTGTATGTATTTACAAAAAAAAAAGTATATATGTATTTATATCAGTTGTCTAGTACCCATAGTACAAGCTCTGCTTAGTTTGGGACTAGATGGCGTTGTGTGTATGTGGTAGAATATATTATATTATTATTATTATTCGAGCGAGGCGCATTTGTAATGAGAACTTGTTCAATACTTTGTAAGAAATGTGCGGAATATTTTCAAATCGTTTAAATGAACAGAATCAAACAAAGATCACGTTTTATTTGAACTATAATTTAACGTCCTATTTTATCAATGTTGTTCTTGTTGGATTACTTCAATGATCTGTCCTCTTCTTTATATACGCAAACAAGTTGCTTTGTGTTTGGTGTACATTTCCATACTACATTACTGCTAAGTGCCTATGCACTAGGCTCTGCTCTCTCATGGAAATTTCTTAATAATGTCCAACATCATTGAGAAATTACTCTTATGAGTGTGTCTTTTGTTGAAACCCAGCTTAAATTTTTATGCCTTTAGTAAGAGTTTTATTTTCAATAGATGGTAATATAATGTAATGGAGTATCAAAATGTTTGTAAAATATTGCTAAAAATCCTTTTCTATTATTTTATCCTAATCCGAAAATAATAAAAAGTGGTAATACTAAAGTGGTATTTTTTTTTATTTTAAGTTTCAGTCAGTAAGCTTTAATTTCTAAAATACCTGATTTATTTGCAAAAATGATATTCAACGGTAACTTTTTTACTGTTACAATATTGTTGACCTTAATCTTTTTAAATTAACACAATTTTATGCCCTTAATTTTCACGGATATATATTTATACACTAGTCTTTTTTCTTTGCAAGTCCCTGAAGTATGCGCTTTTATTAAAACTTGTGCTGAACACAAAACGTGGTTCCCGAAAAATTTCATTTTTCTTTGAAAGGCAGATTTAATTTGAACGGATGTTTTTAACCTTTGAACGGATGATGCTATGTTCCGGGAAAAAATTCGTTCCCGATCTTTCATAACGTATTTTAACGTTTTTATTTAACTCCATTTTATTCAATTGAGCCTCATTTTTGGTAAAGTGTTAAATTACTGAAACAAGTTTACATTGCAATCGGTGGCAGTCATTGGTACATCTTCACATTCACTAATATTGTACATTCACAGTAACATATAAATAGGATCATCAATAAGAATAAAGAATAAAAGTAAACTTTTTAGTACACGACTATGGAGAACCATTATTGGAAAAAACTTCCCCTGGTGCTGGAATCTGTTCAGAGAAAAACGCTCTGTGAACTGAGGCAACAGAAACTTTGACATTTTTATGATTCCCTTGGAAGCATAAGTGATAGATGTATTGTGTCTTATTCTAACTTTGTATTAGAATTTATAGCTAACTATTGACATTTAAGAGTTATTGCTTAGTTTCAACTTTTATTTAACACTTATTTTTAAATGTAAATCTTTCATAATGAACGCTAAAGACGTCTAAAATTGACGTGCTCATTAAAGATAAATTTAACCAGCTACCTTAATTAATGTTGTGTATATACGTATATTGTTGATGAAAAAGAAAGAAAAATAGAATATCTTAGCCACAAAGATACATGTAAGAAAAAGTTATTCAAAATGTCTTAAACGGTGTCGAGAAAACGACACGGTATGGCTATGTTTGTATTTTCTTTGTGCTCAATGCTATTTGTACATAATCTGTTGCCAACTGCTGTTACCGTTTCGTTTACAAATATTCATACAGAATATTATTAAAATATTTAATGTAAAGCACCTCAAGTGGTCTACCATAAAGAGAAAAAAATACTATTTAACCACTTATTATTTTGAAATTTAATTTCACATCAAACTAGTTAATTTATGTTTTTTAATTTAAATACAAATCAACTGCTGTATTTTACTGTTTAGAGATCTTAAAATGACGTCAACTAAATTCTAAACTAATATTTCATAAAAAATATCATAACACGGATTTTGTGCCGGATGTTGTACACGTTATGACCTAGAAAGTAACATACATTTCTAATTTAATTGGACACCTTAAAATCAAAATATGGAAGACACGTATAATATATGAATAAATCTTAGTCAATATAATGTTTTATCCGGATGGTAAACGGGAAACATTTATAAAAAGACGGATAAGTTTAAGGGTTTGTAGGACTCGCAACATGAGGATTTACTACTAAGCTAGCGTGACTAACTAAACTCGTGTAATGAAAATAACAGTAACTTAAAACATCTTATTAAGTAATTAATCATCTCTAGGCAGTATACTAGTACATTTTTGGTCTGACCCGGGAATCGAACCCTACCACTGTGGCCACCGAGGCAGTCATATTAAAAGTATCGTATGTAAGTGAAAGAGGCCAGAAATAAGTGTGAAACGTGAAATTTTCTATTTAACTTTAAGAAGGTAGTTATCTAAATCTACTTATAGATAATTGAATGGATATTAATTAATATACAAAGTAAAAATCTGTCTCATGAAAAATGATAATAATTAGAAACCAATATTCAAAGATAACAATATAATTTAATTTAACAAATAACAACTTATTGAACGTCAACTACTTACAACAAAACTTATTCTATGAATGAAATGTTTGTTAAACGGTTACTTCTTTGGTATTTATATTACTAACGATATTTTCCCTCTCTTAATCCAACATTTCCTTAGCATGGTTCAACCAGTGCGGCCACATTTCAACCTGACGTCGCAACATTTCTCCAGGGCTTACTGTGTTTGAGAGCTGGCTGTGTGCTACCATATGATAGCCATCTGTTAGATATCTGTTTTCAACACCACAGGATAACAGTTTGCGGAGTGCTTTTATAGCCAACGGTGATGGCAAACAATCTAAAAAGAAAGAAGAAAAGGTTTTCTTGTTGGACAGTTATTATTCTAGTTACTTATATAAGAGAAGAATTACATCAGTTAGAGGTTCAGTGTATTCTTACATTAGTTAACAGTTTTCGTCCAGTCTCTTTTTTTTTCTAAAAAAGACAAATTTACATGTTGGAAATTTTTAAACCAGCATTTTGAGATTTAATTATCTGTAGATTGGCGTCCAATTCAGAATTTAAATACATTTTATTCGAAAGCCATGTAATTTAAATTTAAAATTCAGGTACATCACCTAATCAGTGCGCTAAAAAAACAGATTACACATAGGAGGATTATGGTGAACGTCTGGTGTATAAGTGCCGGATTTGTAAATCACAGCTTCTTACCGAAGGGCACAACAGTGCTGGCACATGTCTATTCCCAAGAATTGCAAACAATGATGGAGAACCTCGCAATTCAATAACCACGACTGGTCAATCGCTCTTCCCCATTGCTTCTCCACGACAACGCGAGAGCTTACTTAACACTTTACAACAGACCTTTGCAAAGCTACAAGAGTTACAGCCGGCAGGTCTCCGTCACCGTCCGTACTCATCGGACCTTGCTCCAACATTGTCATACAAATCTCCAAATTCAAAGGTAAAGCCTAAGAAAAACCTAATATTATCCTGTATAAAATATATCGGGGACTATGCGGGGGACTTTACAAACATTCATAATACACAAAGAACACCCAGTGTTGTCCCATGTGGGGATCGTACACTTAACGCCGTAGGAATTGGCGAGGTGGCCGCTTAAACCTTTACGCTATCCGTGCAGTCGCCAGTCTATAAGTCACTGCTGAATGTCGTCAACATTTAGTTACAGCTTGATTACAAACGTATATGTATGTATTTATAGACCAAAGATAGTATTTTATATACTATAGGGGCAAATGACCAGTCGCCTCACCTGATCGTAAGTTACTACAGCTACCCGTGAACACTCGCAAATTAAGTGTCAAAACAGGGTTCAGGACTTTGATGTAGGGGTACGTTCAATTGGGGTGCTTGGCTAGAAAACCTCCACGTGGTGCACTATGCAAACTTTGCCGTTGGAACCGCTGGAGCCGTTGGCGATGACGTCCTCCTCCAATTAGCGGAGGAAGAATCAATGCCATTGCCAACGGCTAATATTCTACTAAGAAGAGGAGGCCATTCTTCTTCGGCCTTTCGGTCGAGGCTTGATCCAACAGAGCGGGCGTGTCTGCAGATGCCTCTGTTGGGTTTTCGCTCTTCAGAACAACGAGGAGGAAAACCTCGATAAAAAACCGCGAAGGCGAGACCCACTTCATGGGTCGGAGTTTCTCCACTGTCAGCGGAGGAGAAACGTGGACGGGCTCCTCCAGGCATACGGCATCCTCATGCCGCCATCGGCATATTGCAATCCCGGAAGGAGTGTCGTGGTTATGTCTTGCGACTCCGGTCGAGAGCGAGGGGCTTTGGCTTAGCCGCCTGCAATGCGAGGAAGAAAACCTCTATAAAAATTACTCCGAATCCCGTGTTCTGGTGACTGATGGGTAGTTCAGTCGCAAGCGCACTTCCAGTTATAGTACTTGTGGACCCCTAGGTTGGGCACAAACCTATGCTTGCCCGGGTATTGGGAGATCTCTGCCCGGGTCGACTTTTATTTTTCCTTCACTCGTGGGTTTATTATGGAGTCTTACAATAAAATCATCAAAGAAAATAGAAAGGAAGGGGAGAAAGAGAGAAGTAGGAAGGAAAATATTAGAAAAACAGATGATTTCCCGTCTAACGAGGAGAAAGTTTTACTTGGGACGCCTATCTCGGTAGGGCTCCCGGAAGTCATTTTGGCTGCTGGGAGCCGAAGAATATCGGAATGATTGCGTTCCAGGACCGCCATTCTCTCGGAAGGAGGTAACTGCAGTACGACGATGGACGGACTGGACTCGATGAAGATGGAGCTCTGTGATAGCAGGAAACGCGGTCGCTCCAGGGTCGAGGAGAGTCATACGTGACAGGAGATGCTGCCCCCTTTTATTTTATTTTATTTCTTTCCGTGCGGAAATCCCCTCGGATACCACCTGTCGGTGGCATGTCGGACTCGAACCGACTAAAACCGCACGCCGTCTGGGGTACTAATAGCTGGGGAACCAGGTATACCCTAGAAAGGAAGTCCCTGGTGCCCCGACATACCTCGGACATGCCCCCTAAAGTAAGCAGTGGCCGTAGAGGGAGGTCACGCATGCAGATCTCTGCCCCGTCCCCGCCAATTCTCCTCGGAAACAGACTATTAATAACCTAACTACGAGTATGTTACACCTAATTTTAATGTTTAATATGTCGAACTGTTCAGCATTGTTATCTAAATAACAACGTATTATAAACTTACTTCTAAAATCGCCAACAAAAGTAATTCCAATGGCCCTCCGATTGTACCCACGTGTGTGTGTGCACCCACATATTTCCATCCTGCTCCCTCATAAACCTTTCCAGTACCGCCGATAAGAAATCTGTAAAGAAAACATTCAGTGAAACGAATTAGAGTCTTCAGGGAAATTATAGAAATAGAAGCTTTATAAACGTTAATGAATAAAACCGATACTTTCTTAGAATATCATATATATATAGAAAATAAAAGCACTGAATTACTACTAAGTAATTTATTCGTGTTAGAACTAATGAGAGCTACCCTATTTACTTGTAATAAGAGTTTAAGTCAAGGTATTTTCAGTGCCAAATTCGAACTAAAATCATATGATACATTTTAATACCCCTTTCGAGAGTCGTAATAAACAGAACACAACAAACTAAAACTCCAATAAATCACAGACTTGGGTGTCAATTTTAGAAAGCGATTAACCGACTTGGTTTTATAAGACGTGATAAGGGTTCTCGAATGGCTTATTGAACAATTTGTAAATAATATAAACATTTTTTTGTTTAGTACGTACAAATTTATGTTTAGAATGCAATAGGCATTCTAAGCTGGGTACACCTTACAACGAAACAATTTGGAACGTGTCAATATATAGTCAAACATGAAAAAAATTGTTTAGAAATCAACTTGATGGGATTATTTTTCAACTGTTATAAAACAAAAATTAAATCATTTAGACTTAAAAGTCCACGGTTTAAATGGATATGCATATTGATTGAATTGTGAACCAAACAGTCGTTATACTCGTAAATACTCACGAATTGCCGATATCAGTAAATCCACGTAAACGGTGGTCATCTCGTATGGCTGATGCTATTCTTTCACATTTCTCATCGTCTGCACACTCAGGAGTTGCCGTATGCTGTATAATGACAATATTTACAGGACCTGGAAGTATCTCCTCTCGTTTAAGGGGACTACCGCTCCATTGTGTTATAGGTACGACGCCACAGGTTGCATCTGAAATTTTAATTTTATTAATGCAAATAATTTATTTATAATATGCTCTGAGTTGATTGATATTTTGTGTCGGACAATGTCAACAATAAATTAATATCAACAAATTAAATATCAAATAATATTTTTTGTCATATAATAACTTTATTTATTCGTATTTTGAGAATGCCTAGTACGAAAATCTAAATTGATTAACATATTTATTGAGAAGCTGAATTTTTTGAATTGATTTAATAATTAATTTCAACTTACCACTTGCGGCTACTGTTATCTTAACAATTAAAACAATGTAGATTATTGCTCTCATTTTAAGTATAATATTGCTTTCAAGATGAAAATTAGTGCTGTATTGGTTCTACTTCAAATGCATCGTCATAAAATAGGCATTTGCTTTTATACTAAACAGGGACCGCTATTTCGGGTAAGTACCTTTATCGTCAGGAAAATCCAATTTTTGCAAAGGAAGCGTCGCAGTTATTCCCTCAATTTTCTCTACGTTCAAAGTTGATAAGAGAGTCTGACTAACAAAGCAATAGATAGGTACCTATTTTGAGCTGCAAATAATTATCTAGACTGTACTGCTCACATTTACCGATAACTTTTGTCCTGGACCTGAGCTCCAGTCAGAGAAAGCTTCCGTTTAGATTTGTGAAAAGTAAATAACATTATGAAATTTTTCTAATACAAAATATTGCAACTGCTAAAGATACCTGCCACTTTGGCACACTAATAATTTCTTGTGCTTGTTAACCTTTATACACAAAATAATAAAAGTGTACCGATAATAAACAAAACCATGGCTTCTTTACTCTTTAAGATATTACTAAGCTCATCTTTATTTGAAATCCCGAGCCTCATCAATGCCTGCTCCTTTATATAAATTCGACAATCTGAGATCTTAATCGTGTAAGAGCTATGCTTTGGACCCAGATGTTAAGATTTTATTAGATTATGTTGATTTCCACTGAGTCAATGATCCCGGTAACCTTACCGGAGACTCAACATCTGGGTCCTCCCTCCCTCTAAATCTGGGTCTGGACATTCAAAGAGTGGCAACGGCGTTGGTAGTCACTTACCACAAGTAACACTTCAAAGTGGATTTATTATATTTCATTATTTTATTTTTATTTACTGTATTTCTGTACTGGATTTTATTAAAAACTCCTCATATTTTTTTCTGATTAATTTCGGTGCCGGTTCCAAGACAGTTTAAATTTTTTCTGAGATTTCTCGAGTGTCATAACTGATTATGTTTGTGAGTCACTGCTGTTGATCCTGGTATTACAGTGTTACACTGTAACAGGAGTTACAGTGGTGGACATGTGGGAGGGATTAGTCCCATTATAAAAAAAGTAATACTTCTGCTCGTTTCTTCCTATAACACAAAAAGATCAGACGCCATCTTAATCGACAACAATATTAATACTAGTATACAAGACTTCCTTCATTATATTTCCTCTTCTTAATCTTAAGAAGACAATACATTATAGAGTGTTAAGCAAAATACATTTGGTTCAATTTCGTGAGGAAAATCCATCCAATCATTTCAGGATCCAATTTTCCTCAGTTATTTTTAGTAACACATTTTGTCATATACATATGTGAATAAAAATACAATGCGAATTCGTGTGTTTTCTTGATATCGACTGCCGCAACGAACAGTATCGATTCTGAAAAAAATCATTATTTTTTTATTGTACCAATCGATAGTGCATATAATATAGTTTTAGAAACAATAAAAACAATTTTGATAATAAATGTATTTAAACAAGTTTTGAGTCGAATACAATCGATACTTGACACTTTCAGCTGCGAACAATATCGAATGTTACAAGTTCGATAGTGTTCGTATGAGTCGATACGCGCGCACACTCCGTAACTGCCTGAATCGTTAGTGTTCGCCGTTATGTGAGAGAGGAAGCGCATGTTGTTTTCGTTTAGTTTTAAGAAGTTTATATTTCATAGTTTCTTTATTAGTGTTTTGTTATTTCTTATTATAAGTTTCAAAACGAATAGTCGAGGTAGATGTATGGTTGATTTAGTTAAAAAAAGAGAACAACGTCAGAGTTGTGAAACCACACCCAACGATAAAAATTACGATCATCCCGGTAAGTGTACATTTTCTTTACAATTTATTTATGTAATATTGAAAATATGTTTTATTTTAATGTCTAGTTCTTCGATCTTTTGAAATAACTAATTATTATGATTTACTCGTGTCCACATGGCGGTTAGCAAGTTAAACTATCGAGTGTGGTAGATTTGATAGTGTTCCAAGTGTACTTATTATTGACAAATATAGAAAGTGGCATTTTCGATAGTATACGTGTACATTATAAGTAAGACATTTATCGAATGTGATACTTTCGATTGTATACTATGGAAAACATTTATCGAATCTACCAGTTATTATATTATTCTACGCTGAATACTTTTTAGATGAGATTTATTTACATATTCGATTGTTTACAGTTTTTTATTGGGTCTTCTTTTCATCTAATAATTCAAGTAAGATATTAAATTACTTATGTTCTTTTTTGTTTTAGAATCTCCTGTACATTAGAATGACTATATGATGTGTTTCAAACTTCACAAGCCGACGAAGACAAGACTAATGAGAGTCTGGCAAATGACTCCCACAATATTATACTTGACAGTGAAGAAGGTACACCAATGCCTTCACCACTCACCTCACAAGACCTTAATTTCGGATCACCACTGACTGAAGATCCTGTAGGGACGCCGACGGGATCTTCAGTCAGTTCAGTAAATGAAGAAAGTACGCCTGCACAGTTGCTCCTTTCCCAACGAGACCCTCTCATTGAAACAATGCCATCTGTAACTGGCGACCCAGTGAACATCCCAAGTATAAGTTCACTGATTTCGACATCCGACAATGACTGCTGTATTACTCCTACTTTATCTACTTCACACAAGCGCATACCAATACACAAAACTAATCCTGGTCGTAAACGAAAACGACATGTCAAAGAGTGGGTTGATGTTCGTACAAAAATGTTGAATAATTCTGGGCAACAAAATGTTTCAAAAAAAGGTAAAACCGTTCCAGCCAAAATCATTAAACCACCATGTCCTTATACCTGCAAGCTGCAATGCACTAAATATTTTAGTGAAGAAATTCGAAAAAACATTTTTAATGAGTTTTGTCGCTTATCCGATAACACTAAGCAGTGGGAGTAGGTATATAAACAAATTTACTAAAAGATTCGATAAAAAAAGAATGACAACTGAAAAACCATCTAGAAGAAAATTTACTACAAAATATTACTTACCTTTGCCAATGATTCCACCTACGAGGCTCAGCAAGTGTGTTTGAAGATGTACTGTGGCACTCTTGCTATTACTGATCAAACAATTCGAACAGCACACAGCAAATTAGATGCTTGTGGAATTACTAGCAGTGACAATAGAGGGAAACATGTAAATCACCCAAAAAAGGTGGACGACGAGATGATACGAAGTGTTTCTGACCACGTAAAGTCTTTTCAACCCATTGAATCTCACTACACCAGAAAAAATACCAGTAAATTGTATTTAGACAACTCTTTGAGTTTCAATAAGATGTTTGCAATGTACAAAGATTGGTCTGAATTATCTAAATATAATAACAAAGCAGAGACTGAAAGACAATATAGAAATATTGTAAACGAGCACATAAACATTGCATTTTTTATTCCGAAAAAAGATTTGTGCGACAAGTGCCACGCGTTTAGCAACGAAATTCCATCCCACTGAAAAACACGTACAGGCTCATAACAAACACATTTCAAATAAGGAAACTGCAAGAATGTATAAAGCAAGAGATAAAGAAGAATTCATTCAAAGTGCATCAAAAATAGTTTGCGCTACATTCGACTTCCAGAAATTAGTGAACTACCCTTCTGGCGAAGTGTCCCTTTTTTATTATAAAATAAAGTTATCACTGATGCATTTGACAGTTTTCGACGCTGGGCTTAAAGAGGCTTCTTGCTATTTATGGCCACAAAATGTTGGTAAACGAGGAGCAAACGAGGTAAGGTAGTTGCATGTTAGATTTCATTGAACGTAAGGTATCTAGAGGAGCACTAGATATGAGGTTTTGGTCGGACAACTGTAATGGACAAAATCGTAATAGTGTTATACAGTCTTTACATGTACGCAAGTAACAAATTTAATATTGATATAACTCATAGATTTCTGGAGTCTGGTCATACACAATAAGAAGCAGACGCCACTGTATTCAGATAGTTTGCCAATTCCGGAAGCTAAATATAAAGACTTAATGAGTCTTTGCGAAGCAGGACATATACCTAAGCAATACCACACCTTTTTTTTTAAATCTTAAAAGGTGTCAAATTGAAAAAGTTTCGGGAAGTGATGAAGATACTTAGATATTAGAATTAAACAGCCTAAATAGATTTTTATGAAAGTATTTCTTTTTACATATTTTTTATGAGCAATCAGCATTTGTTAGCATTTATTTTTTGTTAAAAACCCAATGAAGGGATTTTTATTTAATTTTGTAATATGTACCTACGAGAACAAGACTGAACATATACGAGTAGGTATGTTAATTTACATGGTAAGATTGTTTAATTTACGTAATATGACTCAATTTTCTTAGGGTATAAGTACAAAGTATTAATTTAAACAAGTTTAGATATGTATGTAGTGTGTGTGTGTTAATTCTGTGATGCATAATTTGATTCGTTTTGTATAAGTATGTACTCGTACGATACTCTTAATCGATCTCAAGCTAAGATGGCTATTTTTTATTTCATTATTAATAAATGTGCCTTATTTAAAATACAGAACTTGCATTTAATTTTGGTACCTCCTCCTCCTATGTGATTTGTAGGTTCGATACTGTTCGTTGCGGCAGTCGATATAATGAGTATAAGATATGTCAAAATACATATGCTCATATACTCGTTATATCAATCGATGTGATTAATTAAATACCATTTTCTATAAAATTCTAATCGTGATAAACTTATGTATAATAATTAATTGATAATTGGAAAATTAAATGATAAATTATAATTTTCTTATTTATTCGTTTCTACCGAAGTTCGTTCTGACTCAATATCTGACTCAGTTAAAATTATAGGTTCTAAAAATATTGTACATCAGTTTTCCAACAAATATTTCGTACTTATTAATAGATTCATTCCAGATTGCGTTATGAGCCTTTTTACAACCTACGTTCACTTGCCGGTATGTACTCTGTTCTCATCTCACATATCTTTTTTATCATCAAATAGAGAACTACAGTTTCATTCTATCTGTATTATAACTTTTTATGTT